CACACACACACACACACACACATACATACAAACAGGTAAAGGAGTAGCTTCTGACAAAGCAACAGCAGAGAACAGGACAGCTGCGTTCATCAGATAGCACAGGTCATTGCCTCATTAACACTCACACAAATACAGTTGAACGTGACAAATTCAAATAAGACACCCCCCCGACACACACACACACACAAAATGACATAGAACACAAAAACAAACTGCTGCGACTTTCACGGAAAACCACCTCAACGTGTAAAGACACCCCATCAGTCGTGTTCAGAGCAGCTGCTGTCAATCAAAACACATTAAAGCTGTAGTGTCCTGAGGATGGGTAAAAAGAAATATCCTGAAGTATGAAACTCAATCAGCTCATTTTTCCCATATCAATGAGAAATTTTGTTTTGTTTTCTTATTAAAATAAAAACGTGTAAGCAAAATGTATGACTGAATGCCAACTACAATGTGTTTACCTACAAAAACAGCCCGAGTGACTGAAAATAGGTCAACAATGACRACGTCTATAGAARAGCAGTTTGGGATTGAGAAGTCAGACATCTTTGAAGCGTGTGTTTGGAATTAAGCTCAAATTTTCCGAGTAAAGTTGCAAGTAAAAAAGGTCGTTAAAAAAACTATAACCTCAAATATCTTACATGCTGTTTCTCTTTTCGTTCACGTTTCTCTGCAGATTCATTCTCATGTTTCCACATAAACATCTTTTGTGAGATTCTATGATTGTTCAATTCTGCTGCCGTTGTTTACGTACACCGACTACAACCGGCCCAGTGTAGGTCGATTATGCAACACAAGCATCCTCGTGGTTTTCGTGGGGGATTTGAGCAAGTTGTTTACATTGAGTGTGTACACTTATTTTAAATTTGCACATCAGTACGTATATTTGGGCAGGACGAGGTAGTTTTGGTGGTCAATGCAGCTGTCTTGTAATCCTAAAGCCACAGGTTTAAGCCCGGGTTACATCTGGAAGGGCATTCGGTATAAATCATTTGCCAAATCTCTCACACGAGTTCGCTCACTGTGAGAACCCCAACAGAGGGGAGCAGCTGAAAGAAATAAGAAAATCAATACGCAGCTGAAACCAGATGTTTTTATTCATTGTTTAAAAGATGCACAACCATTATTTTTCTCACWGTTAGATAATGAAACAGACTAAACCTTTTCTGTTGTAGGTTAGGATTTCCAACAATAGTTTTGATAAAAGCCCAGCAAACGAGATATTTCTTTTATTACAGTACTTTCTTCAACTACATACATTTTCTCAGTATTTAGTATTGTATTGACATTTAATTGTATGACTTGGGTCAAATACGGGCATCTTTTCACAAGTGTTTTACAATAGTTTGCTGGAAATTTGTCCCATTCCCTGTTATTTGACAGAACTGGTGTRATTGAATCAGGTTTTTAGGCCAGTTTGCTCACGTATGCCTTTTTCAGCTCTGCACACAAATGTGGTGGAAATCAGGACCACTCCAAAACAATGACTTTGTTGTCTTTAAGCCACTTTGTAACTAATTTGGCAGTATGCTGAGGGTCAGTGTGTATTTGTTTCACTTTGTCCAAATTGGACCTTCCTGGCTGGTGTCTTGAGATGTGACTCCAGTATTTCTACGTCTTTTCTGGTTCCTCCTGCAGCAAAACAATCCTGCATTGTGATGTGGCCACCCCCGTATACCCCGTGGTGATATCAGGTTTGCAGAATTCCTTTTTTTTCTCCCCTGCAAYTGTAGCTATTGTCAATAAGGATCAGTTCAGTTTTAGTTTCAGCAGACCGAAAAACAGATCCAGATTTCAGGTTTTTATCCTTGTTTGCAAACTTTAATCTATTTTTTACTGTTTCAAATGGAGTAATGACTTTTCCCTCAATGAGTGGCCTTTCAGCCTGTGTCAGCACGAGACTTGTTTTCTCTGGATAATAAAACTCTCTCACAAACTTCAACCAGCAATCTTTTTAGGGTTTTTTTTTGTTTTGTTTTGTTTTGGAGGGTTGATACACACTTTCACACCAAAGCATGTTAACTCTGGAAGACATCTGAGCTGTATGCTGACAGGACATTTCCACAGTGTTGTTTTTAGATGCTTTAGATTTTAKTAGCATGTATTGTGCCGCAGAGGGGAAATTAATTCTCAGCATTTTACCCATCGCACATGTGAACASGCATGTGGAGCAGTGGGCTGCCAATTACTGCACCCAGGGAGCAGCTGAGGGCCTTGCTCAAGGGCCCAAAGTGGGGCTGGTTGAACCGGTGACCTTCCGATCAAGTCTTTTCTGACCTCTGTGTCACCACTCCCCAAAATTGTATTTTTTTTGGTCAATGGGTGTTTATAGTTGTATGTAAAAGTCTGAGCAGATAAACGTGGCACTTTAGACGAACCAAAGTTGTGGAGGTTGACAACTGATTTCTTGGCTGATCTCTTTTTCCATGATGTCACACACACACACAGAGGCAGTGTGTGTTGGAGATGTGCCTTAAAGTTAATCCACACATGGTTAGTTTTCAACTAACAAAGYTTCCAAAGCTATGACCTCCTCMTTTGGCCTTTCCCAGCTTGTTTCAAGGCATTAGCATATAAAAACACACCTTTAAAGAAAGCAATATAAAYAATCTMTTTTRTTTTGGGGGGAAATTATTGTAAAAATGTTGAAAATCCTAACTGATCTAAAAAATATTTAATTTCAGGTAGTTTAAACAAAAATTACTGTATTTTGAATTAAAAAATAAGTTATCTAAAATAAGTTAAAAGTAATAGATTACAGTCTGAATCGTTTCCTGTTACTTGAACTAATCAGCCAGTGCAGTTACAATAGATAATTGTACTCAGTAAAGGCCCTGTCACACTAGACAACTTATGAAACATTTTTAATGTCTAAATTGCTTAAAAAGTTATTTATTTGATCAATTTGTTTGAATTACATTATGTACACACTGAAAACAAGCCTCCTGTTGATWTTTTCTATTCCATCTTCAACGTGGATGTCTTTARACTGTTCATAAGTTGGCATAAGTTGTTTAGTGTGACAGGGACTTAAGACTTCTTAAAATAAGAAAAAAAATCCAGGTTAACAAGATTAATAATCTAACATTCTGCTCTTGCTTAGCATATCAGTGTTAAAACCAGTTTAAAAATACCTTGTGGACCTTTTGGCTGAATAAAAGATTGTAAGGATTGGTTWGAGTGTATGTAAACATCTGGTTTCATCTTTTTCTGGAAAATTACTGGAGTAAACTCAAACTGCACCATTTGATACAGTGTAGTTCAGGATAACATTTATTATAATTTTTATATTAAATTTCATATTTAGGATTGCAATCCTTTGCGTTCACACAACCAAATCAGCCATTTATACTTTTTTCCACATGCAGCTTCAAACGACTGCACCCGGCATCGCCCAGAGGCAGTTTATGGCAGCAGGAGGAAAAGGCCTACGCTCAAGGAAAACTCCTTGTGTGTGTAAAAAAAACAGCAAAGGCCTGAGTGACACTTATACACACACACACACACACACACACACACACGCGCGCGCGTGCGCACGCACGCACGCACGCACTCCCAAGCTGTAGCTGTAAACCCAAACTGCTCATCAGTTAAGTCATCAGTGAAACCACACAAACACCAGCTTGACCACACTAGAAGCAGAGCTCGACTGCTCGGCGGTCGCTGCTTCACTTCACACTCGCCGCCGGAGGCGGGTTTACTGTTCTTTCACACGTTTTTGCTTACTCAGAGCATTTATGCTGCTAAAAAAACAACAACTTCAACAACCTGTGGCCTTCRTTGTGAGGCCTGCATGTTCTGATTCATCAAAGAGAAACCTCGCTGGCAAATCAGATTCTCTTTTTATGGTTTTGATGTGTTTTCTGCAACCGTTTCTTCCCTGTTTGTGTGTGTGTGTGCATGTGTGTGTGAGCTTAGACAGTTTGTGTTTGCAATGACAGGCACAGTGTCACGTCAGGGCCCCTGAGTTCAAAAAGGGGTGAAGTTCTCTTACCTGTCGATGATGACTGGGTCTGAAGGGGTCTCGTTCCTGTTGCCGCAACTCTTCTTATCACAGCACCGACTGCAGAGGTGTTGGTGGTGGTGGTGGTGGTGGTGGTGG